AGGTGCAAAGATCTATTTTTAGTGTTGTTCACTTTTTCCTTTTCCTTTTTCTCCCATAGTCCCTGATGAGGTTCTCAAATCTTTTTTACAACTTGGTGCTATTTATGGGGAGTGAATTCTCCCTTTGCAGAGACATTCAGGGGCAGAGAAATAGATTGATAAAAGCATTACTTTTAGCCCTTTGAAAATCTATTTGTAACCATCTGAAAGCAGCAGAGATGATGTGGATTCCTGGTCATGCACGTGCAGGAAATGCTCTCCAGACTCTCTCCTTACAGGAAAAGTCAGCAAGTTTTTCAGGGCAACTGTGATGCTTTCTCAGCTTCCCAAATAGGCCATTGGTGGCAGTTGTCTCCTGCCTCTGTGTGTGCAGGGTAGGGATGGGGAAGGGACACTCAGGGGAAGTAGATAAAGGGAAAGGGAAAAGTGGGAGTGGTGATAAGAACGGTGCTTGGATTCTCCTGAGATAAGAGGCACAGGAGGAGCTCCTGCAGGGAGCTCTTCCCCCTTAGCATCAGAGGCTGAGGGAGCAAGTACCTGATGTCAGGCAGAGGCAACTGTTCACCCCAGGAGAGACCTCAGAGCTGGTGGGAAATCCTGGGGAAAGAGCAAACACACTTTGAGTCTCTGGAGATCACTGAATCCTTCTCACCCCCCACCCTTGTGCTTGGGTGTGCAGTCTGAGGGGTGTCTAAGGATTTGAGGATCCCTTCAGACAGAATTAAGCTTTCCTTCCTACCCCTCCTGGCTGCTGGGCAGACACTTGCCCTTCTTGCAAGCCACTGCCATGTGGCTGGAGCTCGGAGAGGCTCTAGCTTAGCCCTGCTGCAATATTCCAGTTGGAAAGCGATGCGTATGTAAGTATGGATTTCTCCAGCTCAGGCAGCAGAACAGTGGATAGAGAGGTGATTGATTAGCCATCAGCTGACTCACGTGGGGTTTTCCCTGTGTTTCATCTGTCAGACGAACTGGAGCTGTCACCCACATCAAGATCCAGAACACAGGAGACTACTATGACCTCTATGGGGGAGAGAAGTTTGCTACATTGGCTGAGCTAGTCCAGTACTACATGGAACATCATGGACAGCTCAAGGAGAAGAATGGAGATGTTATAGAGCTGAAATATCCACTGAACTGTGCTGATCCTACGTCTGAAAGGTCAGAGAAATGGTGGTGGAATCTCAGTGTCCATGTCCACTGTGTTTATCCCTCTTAGCACTGCAGCAACTTCTGTTTGAGGAAGAGTTGCCCACTATCTTGGACTAGTTTCAGTGAGGTTCCTTGCTAAGTAGACATAGAAACATGACTAAAGGTGAAGGAATCTAAGCCTCAGGACCTGTTTTCTTCAGCATTCTTTCTTGTGTGGCACAGGCCTAAATAAAAGGCATCATTCCCTTTATTTTTCCTGGGAGAATGTTTTAGTGTAGAAGTTCTCCTGAAGCTGTTACTGCTGTAAGGAAGTTCCAGGTATATTCCTGGGCATGATTTGACATGGGATTTTTCTAGTAGTGGGTCAGTGTCTAAGAAAGTGAGTGACACAGAAATCCTCAAGTTCCTTAAACTCCTGTTTTGAGGAAAGTGGCCAATAGGGAGAATCTGAGGAAATATGCAGGTGTCAGAAATGAGCCTCTGTGGCCAGTAGATACCTGTTTATTCCTAGAAGTGAAAGAACAAGGAAAAACATTCCAAGTTCTCTCACTCCTCAGTGTCCTGTATTTCCCAGTGCTGGGGAGGATTATTGTATTTGAGGCCATGTGAAGATGTGAGATTGCTGTGGTGATCAGTCCCCAGTCCCTAGTGGGATGGAAGGGCAAGGCCCCAAAGATGTGAAGTTCCCACAGGTTTATCAGGAAGGAAATGGAAGAGGAAGGAATGCTTTGCCTGAGGGGAAGGTTGCAGTGTAAACTGGTGTTTGTTGGACACCAGAGAATCCATCTGGATAGTTGTAAAGGATCCAAATCAAAGCTTCCTTGGAAGCTCGTGTGAAATTCAAAAGTCAGTGCTCATGGAAGTGCTTTGAAGTGTTTCCTTAGTCACTTGTGTGTGTACATGTCACTTCCAAGGCTTTTTTTGTTTATTATCTCTCTAGCCTGAGCCTTTCTGTAGCCCTGGACATTGCTCAGTGTGTGTGAGGATATGGTTTGCTGGTGAGTGGATTCAGCCGTGGCTGCAGTGACGCAGCAGAGTTCCTCTCTCTTTGTTTCAAGGTGGTTCCATGGGCATCTCTCTGGAAGAGAAGCTGAGAAGCTGTTAACAGAGAAGGGAAAGCATGGGAGCTTTCTTGTGCGTGAGAGTCAGAGCCACCCTGGGGACTTTGTCCTCTCTGTCCGCACAGGAGACGATAAAGGAGAGAGTAACGATGGGAAATCCAAAGTGACACATGTCATGATCCACTGCCAGGTATGGTGAAGCTTCAGCAGAGCTCTCTGTGGGCTGTGGGGCTGCTCTAGCAGGAGGGACATCCTCCACCTCACTCCAGTTCTGGCTGCATTCCCCCTTTCCCTGGGGGGCTGTGGATCATCTCTGGTCAAATGATTGAGAGAATCAGAACTCCATCAGTGTTTGTGGTTTGGTGCCTGCTTGCCTGACTGAATCATGTCACACTGTCCTGGGCTGTCAAGTACCTTCTAACACAGTTGGCTTTGATTGCATGAGAAGGCTGGCTCAGACCCTCTGCTGATGGAGCCTTTCATGTTCATGAAGCTTCTTAAGTGAGCTGCAGCCTCCTGGATGGATCATATAAAGCTCTGAGTGATTGGGCAAGCAGAGATGTAGATGTCTGTTTCTCCTGTCAGTTTGTGTGGTTGTGCCTGCTGGATGATCAGCAATCTGACAGTGTGGAGTGTTGACTCCAGGGAATGCTTTTAAATCTCAATCTGGAGTTTCATTTAGGGTAGTCAGTGATAGTCTTGATGTTTTAATATATCCCCATGGGTTGTTATTTTTTAAAAAATCAGATTTTATAATTTTCTTCTGTTATGCTAAAAGACATTGCAACAGCTTATCATAGAGCCATCAAGGCTGGAGGAGAACTCTTAGATCATCAATTCCAACCATTAGCCAATGACTTCATTGTTTAAAAGCAGCTGAAATGCAGTGACAGAAGTGGTTTGGAGGTGGAGATGTCCTAGCAGGACTGCAGAAGCTAAACCAGCAGAATATATGTGTTTTTTTCAAGAGTACCTTTTGCAGGTTAACTGCTCTTTGCATTTATGACATTGAGGAAGATAACTTGGCACTGCTTCCTTAAAGCAGGGATGGTGCCAGGCTCTACAGCCTGGCAGTACCCAGTGGTGCACTCAGCTTTGGAAATCAGTTCAAATTCCTGATCCCTGGATTCTAATCCTGTATTCTCAGGATCTGTGGAGCTGACTGAGCCCCAGGGCAGAAGGAATCAGCTCTCCTGAAGAGGCAGATAAACTGATCTCCAATTAGCTGACAAAATGGGTGATGTGTGTGTTTCTTTTATCAAGCTTCTGCCATCTCTTGGCAGAGAGATTTTATTAGAGTCTTCTCTGTCTGGTTTAAAGATGATTTGTGATGCATAGCCTGAAGGTACTGCCAGAGTAGATGTCCTGGTTTGAAGTGTGTGTTTTGATGAGCATCTGTCTTTGAAGGACCTGAAATACGATGTTGGTGGAGGGGAGAAATTTGACTCTCTGACAGATCTGGTGGAACATTACAAGAAGAATCCCATGGTGGAGACTTTGGGCACAGTATTGCAACTCAAACAGGTGAGTGAGTGGAGAAGACACCACTGAGCTTTGCTACCATCAGAATATACTGAACTAAAGCTTTTCCACATGTTCCTAATGCAGAAGTGAAGAGCTAAACTTCATGAAATTGGATGAGAGAGTCATTTAAACAGGAACAAATTCTTTTATGCTTGCAAGGGGATGGAGTCCTGCCTGTGATGCAGGCAGGACTTCTCTTGGCTTCGTTGTGGCCCATGGGGATTGCAGGGAGAGGCCAGAAATGAGACAACTTAGTGTACTAAATAAAAACTGTGAGACTAGAAGCAATTGTTGCCTTCCCCTTTCTCTCTGCCCTTCACTGTTTGAATTCCCTAGTTCATAAAACCATCAAGGCTGGAGGAGACCTCTCAGATCATCAGCTCCAACCATGAACCTGTCACTACTGAAACACCTAAACCATATCCTCCAGCAACAGATCCAGACACCTCTTAAACTCCTCCAGGGCTGGTGACTCCACCACCTCCCTGGGCAATATCCCAGTGCCTCAACACCCTCACAGGAAAAACATTTCTCCTGACAGCCAATCTGACTCTGACCCTGTCTCGTCTCAAGGCCGTTCCCTTTAGTCCTCTCCCTGGCAGGAGAGACATCCCCCAGCTCTCTCCAACCCCTGGCAGGTTTTGAAGTCCTGGAACTACCTCAGTTTTCCTGTGCTCAGCCTGTGTTTGCTGTATGTCCCTCAGCCCCTGAACACGACCCGGATCAACGCCGCCGAGATCGAGAGCCGAGTGCGAGAGCTGAGCAAGTTGGCAGAGACCACGGATAAAGTCAAGCAAGGCTTCTGGGAAGAGTTTGAGGTACTGCACTACCTTCCAAGTGTTACACTATTCAGTCTCCACACTGCTCACTTGAGGTTGGTTACTGCCCTCCTGCTGTTTTCTCACCTCCCTGTCAGTCACCCCAGTTCCCTGTTCGTGCTCCCATCTCCAGGTACAACATGGTTAGAATTTTGCAGCTTCTCTTGTGGCTTGAAATATTTGTCTTTTCTTCCTTATTCTGAGAGTTAATTATGTTCTTCAGTGCTGTTCATCCAATGCCTGGCACAATCCCTCCTGGATATCCTCCCCATCCTGAGGGAGCCTCATGTGCCACTGTGTCTGTCCCACCAGGACAATCACAGCGTAGAATTTTAGGGTTTGGAATGGAGCTTAGAGATCACCTAGTCCCAAGCCCCTGCCCTGGGCAGGGACACCTCCCACCAGGGCAGGTTGCTCAAGGCTTTATCCAACACAACTGGCTCATTGCCTCCCTCTGCTGAAGCAGCTGATGCTTTATGGAGAATCCCAGAATGGTTTGGGTTGGAAGCACCTTAAAGATCATTTAATTCCACCCCCTGCCATGGGCAGGGACACCTCCCACTAGCCCAGGTGGCTCCAAGCCCCATCCAGCCTGGCCTGAACACTCCAGTGTATATATAATGGGCTAGTTTATACCTCGCACACATGGAAGGAAACCACCAGCAGAGTCTGGAATTTCACCAGCAGATGGCAACAGGAAACTGGGACGTGTCTGTGGGAGAGGCTGGTTTGGGCTGCCGTGGTGTGTTGAGAAACTTCGTGAAAAGTGTTGGGTTTGCAGCACAACCATTCTTGGAGAAACTCTGTGATCAGAGAGATCGTTAGCTGCATGGACTGTCCATTCTGCTCTGAGGTTGTTGTCAGGAGGAGAAAAGGAATCCTGTTGTGGATGGAATATCAGAAGGTAAAGTCATGGCAGTGGGAAATAAGAAAACAAGGATTAAGCTTTCTCCGCTCTCTTTCCATGTGCTCAGTGTGAGGGACAGTCCTTAGCTCAGGACTGTTGAATGGCCAGAGTGGTGAGAATTCCATTTGGAAGGGGAAGGAGCCAGCAGAGGCCACTCTGGTCCCTGCTGAAGCCTTGAGCCTCTGTTCTACAGTGCCAGGAGTGGTGGATCCCTGAGGAGCAATTCTCACCTATTGCCTGTGAACTTTGCCTGGAGCCAAACTGGTCTCAACCTCTGAGTTGCTTCTCTTGCAGAGTTCAACAGATGAACTTTGATCTGCAGGGTGAGGAAGATTAACAGTGCACTTCCATATGGGAATTAATTGCTCTTGGCAAAGGGATCAGTGTGTGCTTGGTCATAGCATGGCACATCCTCTCTGCCTGTGGTCACTGAGGGGTTTAGCCAAGCAGAGGTTGTCTCTTGGCTTCCTGGGGGCTCCAGGCATGGCTTACTCTTGTCCAGAGTGTGTGACAAGGAAAATAAGTGCCTTGTTGGCTTCCCCTTCTTGTAAGTGAGGTTGGCTCAGTGCCACCTCAGAGAGTGGCTGAGGGAGGACAGTTAGGTGATGCCTTTAGGAAGGGATTGTTGGTTTGTCAGCAGAGAGTCAGTGAGGTTGGAAGGGACCACAGTGTGTCACCTGGTCCCACCTCCTGCTCCAGCAGGGCCAGCCCAGAGCACATAACTCAGGGTTATGTCCAGATGGGTCTTGAACACCTCCAGTGTGGGAGAATCCACAACCTCTCTGGGCAATCTGTTCAGTGCTCAGTGACTGCACAGGAAAGTTCTTCCTTGTGTTCAGGTGGAACTTCCTGAGCAGCAGTTTCTGCTGTTATCTGTTGCATTATTGGTTTCCCTCCCTGAGCAGAGTCTGATCATCCTCTTGGCACTTCCCTGTTCATGGACTGGAATCCATTAGTGAGGTCGGACTGGAATCATGGACTGGAATCCATTAGTGAGGTCCCTCTCAGTCATCTCAAGGCTGAACAGGCACAACTCCCTCAGTGTTTCCTCATCCCTGAGGTGCTCCAGTCCCTTCAGCATCTTCCTTGCCCTGCCCAGGACCTGCTGCTGGAGCTCCATGTCCCTCTGGCCCTGAGGAGCCCAGAACTGGACACAGCACTCCAGGTGTGACCTTACCAGAGCTGAGCAGAGGGACAGGATCACCTCCCTGAGCTGCTGGCAGTGCTTTTTCCTGATGCATCTCAGGATTCCATTTGCCTTCTTAGCCACAAAGATACACTGTTGGTCTTGGGCAGCCTGTTGTCCCCCAGGACCCCCAGGTCTTCCACAGAGCTATTTCTTGACAGTTACAGCTTCTTTCCTGACCTCTGCCCTGTGTTGGATAAAAATGTCCTGTAATTATTGGTGGGTTCTTAGGAGTAAAGTGTTTTCCTTACAGAAGGCAAAGCAAAGGAAGAAATTAAAGGCCTTACCCGTGAGACATTCCCCTTCTCTTTGCCCTTCACTGCTCATAGTGAGGTCAGCACTAAACCTGATTTCTTTTGGAAATGAAGCAATCTCCAGGCAGTTTTGGTGCCAGGCTCTTCCAGCCACCTCAGGGAAGCTCCAGCTGTCCACCTTGGTGGCAGGAGGTGGGGGCAAACTCCAGGTTGCCCATGGATCTCTGTCTGTGCTGTTTATGAGTTGGCAGTCCAGATGGTGCTTATAAATTACTTGTCTTCAGGCTAGAATGTACCTCTTGTCCTGTGAACCACCAGACTGAAATGTTGACAGTCCTTGGAATGTTTTTCCTTCTGAAAAATGGCTCTTTGGTGAGCTTGATGTAG